AGGGAGAGGCGCCAAGAGTAAAGCCACATGCCAAATATTCATTTAACGTACCTTAATCATAATAATAAATATTATTTAATCTAATCCAATGTTATCAAACCAGCCCATAAAAGCAGCTCCACCGTATTCAATAGCCCGGTAGACCGGTTGTTACTCCAACCCAATTACCTCAACTGCAGCTCTAGCCCATGCGGGAGATGGGGCTCGTGGGAGGCCCGAGTGAGAGGCCAGGCGGGGATCGACAACCCAAGAGCCTGAGGGTTGTGTGACGTGTGGTTGATGTGCGACATCGGTGCATACGCCGACCTTGACATCTCATTGTCCTCATTCGACATGTTGTTGTTGAAGCTGAGGCTTCCGACGGAGTTCTACACCATCAGCTGCTGCTGTTGCGGCTGAGCCGCCGACTGAGACTGCTCTATGAGTAATATAACCATGGTCAAGATTGGTCGGGTTTAGTCACAAAGCTCGCCGAATTTTCTCGCCGGATTCTGGAAAAATGAAACAGAAAGCATGCACAACAAAAGAATAAAATTTAACCATTAATGGCGTGTTTACCAATCGACGACTGGAACAAAGAACGCCTACAGTCTGGAACAACGATTGCCCGAGATCAGGAACAATGCCACAACGACAAACGTGATCTGGAACAATGAACGTCGAAATCGTCATTTCACAAATTCAATTGAGAAGGACATTGTGATTTGCAGACCTAAACAAGATAGAAGGAAAGAACTTCTTATCACTTTCACTCTGTGAAATTGGACTTTTTCGTTGATGGGGTGGTGTGGCCTCATTAGATGGTTGGACGTGGATATGTGTGCTGGGGCAACCTTGGGTAGACGAGAGTTTGATGTCGAAATTTGTTGAGCATTTTGGTCAAGAGGCTACAGAGAAAGATGCAGAAGAGAGGGAGCGAGAGAGAAAAGGATATAAAATGTTTCATTAGTTTTACTTGATTTAAGGTGATAAAGGAGTTAGAAGCAAATAAAAAATTAATTTTTTATGTCAAATTTGAACTAATTTATGTGATTAGGAGTCTTCTACATGCATCTAGAGTCTTCTCCAACATCAAGAAGAAATTTTTTATAAAAAAATAAAAAATAAAAATCTCTTTAGTAAAAAAAATTCAAGACTAAAATTTCTTAAAATAATTAGTTAAAATAGGTGTACTTTAGTAATTACATTATTTTTCATTCCGATTCATGTGAATTAGTAAACAGTTTATATAGATCAATGTCATTCCTACTCCGATTCCAGACAGCCTTAGTAAACAACTTCAACAAGAAAATCCTAAATATTCAAAGGAACAAGGAAATCTCACCTGAAACTACAAGCTAGAGCTTGAAGCTCTCGGTCTAGGATCACTGCACTTCCTAGTGCACAAATGGTGCATGCAAGGACCCAGTTATGCTCCTAAAGTTGCCATGAGTCCAAATATACAAGTTCCAAGTTCATGATGTGAAGAAATGGTAGGGAATTATTGTGATGCTCTCGGTGCCTTATCCGAAATTACAAATAAAATTATTTTGTATTATTTTATAATATAAAAATACAAATATTTTATTACTTATTACCATGGTTATTCAGTTTAGGGGTAGAGATGTAAAAGGTAGTTACTGTTCACTGGGTGAATTCAATAATGAGTTGCCCTAGAAAACCTTTGCAACGCTGGAGTCGCTCTAATGCATGATTAGTTTTCTCTCCTAGATAGTTGTACATGTTACTGTTGTTATTTTAATTGCGAATTGGGAGTGCTTATTTAATAAATGTTGTCGAAATATTTGATATGTAAAGAATAACCAAATTTTTTTACAAAATATTGCTGATCTACAGTCAATACATATTTATTAGGCTTAAATGTCAAAATGGTCCATGTGTTATAGTCACATGGCAAATTTAGTCCCTGTGTTTTTGATTTGGCTAATTTAGTCCTCGTGTTTGTCTTTGTTAGCCAATTAAGGACATTTCATTCAATCTCTTTTAAAAAATTCATAAGAACAATTATATTATATATTATTACCCTTTTTCTTTACAAAAAAAAAATGCAAATCAATTAGAAATAATACATATAAGAGAAAAAATTTCCAATCAGAAAAATGATTAAGGTTTTGACATAGAAAAGAGAGAGGGTAATGTTAGGGAGGAGGTCGGAAAATTGGAAGAAGAATAATTTTTCTTTTAATTTTTAGTTTTATTTCATTTTTAAATATGTTAAATCAAATAAATAAGTTTATCATAATTTATAAATTTTTTTACCGAAATTAGATGGAAATGTCCTTAATTGGTTAACAAAGATAAACACAAGGACCAACTTAGCCAAATTAAAAACACAGGGACTAGATTGACCTAATGACTAAAACACAGAACAATTTTAACATTTAAGCTTATTTATTATAATTTGTAGGATCTATATATTTTATATAGTCCGTCAACTCAATCCTATCCAAATTTCACAGCAGGTTGGCCATCTTTTCAAAAACATACATCCATTGATTCCCACGATTTCCATGTTTTCTCGCATGCTTTTTTTTATTCCTATCGTTTTCCTTCAGCTTAATCTAGCTGTCTTCGGGCCATGCATATAATGCATCATATAAAATAAGAAATTTTAACGAAAAATTTTTAGTATTTTTCATTTTAATGAAAAATTATATTTTATATTAAAAGTTAATTATAATATTATTTATTTTATCTTTTATTTTTTTATTTTTGTTAAAACTCAAAAATTTTAAGTTTTTTTATTAATTTTCCATATAAAATATGATGAGATGAGAATATAAAATGAGGAATCCATACAGTAATATATCAGGCCAAAACAGTATATGATTTAGTATCAAGTATTTTCCAAAAGTGTGTGATTTCGTTTAGTCACTAAGCATAAAGGGTGTATTGCCTTTTGCTTGGTCTTTCTTCTCTTTAGTTTAGACCACTTTCTTTGACCACAAGGGTGATTTTTATCCTTGGATCATGATTATGTTCGACAACTTGGGTTCAGGTTCCACTTCTCCTATAAAACAATAACAAAGAGATGGATTTACTAGAATTTCACACTTCGATTTCTGCAGAATTAGCTTGCTGCCTCATCTTTTCAAACAGTACTAAACAAAAAAAATATTTGACTATTTACAACGAATCATGTCGTTATGCATGTAAATCACAATATATTTTCAAAGGAGTTTTAACCAAAAGCACACGTTACTGTTTACTTTAACCAAAAATCATATTTTTACACTAAAAAATCAAACATGGTACTATTCACTTTACCCTTTATTTTGTCCTTATCGTTAAAAGTTAAAACTCAAAGTTTTCAAACAATTTTCATTAGTTTTCCTTATTTTCAAATGTGTGTAAAACCTGTAATTTTTAATAAATTACTTTTACATACGTATCAAACTATAATTTAGACGTATAGAAAAACTTCTTATTGTGAGGAACCATACAGTGTTTCTATACATTAAAGCCCTCCTTAATTAATTTAATTGTTGTAAAGAGTTTTCGAACACTAAAATGTGGCTCTACATGTTTAGTTTTCTAACACTTTCTTTTCTTCCCCAGTTTTAAGTTGAACATGGCATGTGGGAACCTCATCATCATCTGGCTGTCACCATGTGGACAATATCACATAAAGTAGAGTGATCTAATCTAAATATAATAACTAATAGCATCTCGAAAGAGTAGTTAAACTCACCTTTTAACTAAACACGTAGAGCTACACAGAATTTCTTTGGTCCAAGAGAGTTGCTGAACTCATTCTTCAAATTTATTACTACTAGAAAGTTTCTAACCAAGTCTTCAAACATTCTTTTTATTATAATAATGTGTATTTTTCACAATCTCTATTAATTATTCAATAACAACAAAAAAAATGGAACCAACTTGTTTCATATTAAATAGTATATAATATTAAAACCCCAAATTACTTCTCACACACCCCTTGTTAATTTTTGTCCTTTGATCTTCTTCAATTAATCCGATCCAACGGCCGAAAATTAGAAGGGTGTGTGAGAAGTAAAATAGGGTGTGCGGATATCACAACCCTATTAAAATTTGTAGAGTCTGTTGGAGAACAATATTTGAAGTAGAAAATTTTACTCTTCAAATTGGTACGTAGGTCAACAAACTTGTGTCTAAGGAGTTACATTTGTAGAATCTGTTGGAGATGCTTCAAATAGAAAAGATTTAATTTTGGGTCTATAACATGAAGAATTCAGTTACTGCATTCATTCTCGGCCAAAGTATATCATTGAAATTTTACTGTATGTCTCCGAAGAGACTTCTCAGCCAAATTATATGATTTTGATCCTTATAGTTTACGCTTAGACTTCATGAACTTCGGCTAAACTATGTGGATTAAAATCAAACTTTCGCCAAGAATGAACCAAACTTGAAGATTGAAAATTAATTTGCATGATGAAGTTTAGTTATACTTATTCATGCTTGGCAAATGTGGTGAAGATGAAATTGTCCTCCACCCAAATTCATAAATTGGAAATTTGGACCTACGGACTACCTAAAAATGCAAAACGTTGAAGGTGAAAACTTTAAGGCTATTTTCATCTTCTTTTTCCTACGTTCAGGGCTTAACAGAGGAACTTTATAAGTTTCCAAAACTTGAAGATACAAGTCAAGAAATTGAATTTCAATTATTTGTGGAAATATATCAATTGGTAGAACCGTGGATAAAAGAAAAAGATGCTACTGCCATGACTAGGAGCCTTGGCAGATAGCTTAAAATTGAAAGAATCAGGACACGAAAAGCTAATATGGTTCAGCATAACCTTTACTGCAAATGAGAAGGACTAATTAATTAGTTACACCTGTGATACCATACCACTATATATGCCACTATTCCGAGCTAGTAACTTGCAGACGGAACTCGGAACGGTAAATATATAACAGTGCGATTTATTTAGAATACCGTCACAATTACATCAAGATATAGATAAGTTCTCTAGTTGCAAAACCATGCCTTACTTGTGGTCCAAGATTTTGACTGGTGAGGAACAGGGAATATTGTGTTGGATTTTTTTCAGAATGTGTGCAGGAATCATGAGTTTCCTCCACATGATAATGACAATATTTAATCTCAACTAAGTCAATACTTAGTTCTAAAATTAATAAAATCTGAGAGATTAAGCAAGCTTAAACCAACCAAATTTACATAAACAGAAGTTAAAACTGAAAACCCAAACATCACTAAACCAATAACTATTGTACAGAGAGATGGGCACTTGCAGACCCCATTAGCTTCCTTGTTTAAGCAACTGGAAAAAACAACCCATGCATATTAAGTACACCCCAAACATTGTTAACCACACCCCCAAAATTTTCTGCTCTGATAGAGAGAGAGAGAGACACCATTGAACCATTCATTGTTTTTGGCACTTCATTCACTTGTCGAGTATCTTGAAGTCCAGTACTTTTCAATCTCCTCTGCTGATCTTCCAGGGATTCTCCCAGCAATCAGAGACCACCTAAGAAAAGAAAAGATAAGGAAAATCAAGACAATTTTTATATATATATATATATATATATACAAGCGAAATACTGCACTAAATTCATCTAATTACGGAGAGGAGGATTCGATCTTATTGTGAGCCGAGGAGGAGCAAACTGCTCTAGCCAAGCCAAGTTGGTTAAGGGAAATTATGAAAAAACTATACATAAAAAAGTCGAGGAAGAAAATAATGGCTCACCTCTCACCAACCAGATTAAACATCCTAGTGATTAGAGTTTCCTCATCTTCTGAAAATTCAAGCTTAGAGTCTTGACTACTTTCCTCTGCAAAAATTTGTGATATATAATTAAGGTGCCTATTTGTGAGTAATTTGTCGAGAAAAGCTAAACATACTATTTATAACATATAAAATTCAAAGAGAATATAAGATGTAAAACCAAAAACACAGATTTCAAAGGGTCACCCATAAAAGTAAGAACAAGTAGAAAAATGGACAACTAGTTGAAATATATAATTTGGAATTGGAAAGTGAAGAAATGGAATATGATTGGAAAAATAACAAGAAATTCTGAAAAGGGTACCTCTAGAATCCACAGAGTTGTCGTCAGAAGTGGAGTGGGAGTGATCCAAGTCAGCCATCGGAGTTGAAAATATGAAAAAAAATTGGAGCCGCCAAAACTTCAACAACTAGGGTTTATATATATGGGCGAATATATAGAAAAAAAGCAAGTAGTGCAGGAAACTGTGTTTGAAATTGAAGGCAGTTGTCGAAGTCGTATAAATAGGAGGAAGAATCCTCGAAAGACAATGTTGTGCATGATGATGGATAGGATAGGGGAAGAATGGGCGGTGAGGTGAGAGAGGAAGACAAAGGGAAGAATGGTAGTTGGAGAGAGTGGCGTTGTTTTTTTAGTCCAACCTTTGATAGGTAGTTGAATACTTACCTGTTTGTTGGCATAGAATATTTTATGATTGAGATAGCTTGGAGTATTTGTACTCATACCTCTGAATCAGTACAAAACAATGGAGTGTGGGGACTCCAACCGTCCAATCCCAACTTTATCTAAAATGATTGAAATTTTTATGATCAAATCGCTCTAGGTCACTTGATTTTAAGCATAGGTCTTTATATGTTGACTCTTCAAGTTTGGGAAATTTAAAGGTGGAACTGCACAACGTACACATATGTACCATTACAATGATCATATAGATGTTTGAGGTGATCCACATGTGGTATAAAGAGTGTTCTTATAATCATGTGGTGTATCTAGGTATGTTTCGTCGAGGGCTGTGCATGGCACTCACATGTACCTCCATCACACGAGTATGATATTTAATCAGAATGTCATTTTATGGTTAGAAAAGGTCCTTTCATTAATATTTTTAGCCATGTATGTGAGCCTTACGTGCAATTTTGTATATAGTTTACATAAAAAATTCATTTTCTTACTAAAATTGGTAACGGACTCCATTAATGCACAAATTAAATAAATATTGTTAACCATTTTTTTCATATGGATTTGATAACATAAAATTGTGAATTTGTACCAATGATAGATTCATAACAAAAGTGTTTTAAGAGGGGTAAGGTGTATGTTTCTTTTTCTCTTTTCTTGTATTTTGTTTTTCTTGCTTTATGAGGGGTTAGGTTTTTGTACCGTCGAGGAAAAAAAAAATTTGAAAAGAGAACAATATTGCCCATCAAACTTAATCCCTCAAAAAATTCACTTGGTTTTTGGTTCTTTAATCTGCAAGGTATGGTAATACTTTGGTATGAGAAACAATATTCTAGTGATTCCTTTGGAGCTAAGTGTTCGGTGAGAATTGTTATCTAGTGGATAAGCTTGGTTGTGTTTAGCAGTAATTAAGAAAATGCCAAATTAGGAAACAAAAAAATCAATATAGTACGACATCATGTTCGATGATATGGCCAATTAAAAATTGTGATGTCTGAGACTCTGAACCATCCCTCTCAGCATCTAATCTTCTTTTGTCGCCAGCCAAATACTTTTATACTGATGTCTACTGGAGAACTTGTACAAAACCCACGCGCCATTTGGAAAAGTTGTAAACACACTACAATTTGATCTTTCTATTAGAAAATTAAATATAAAGCTAATCTATTGCAATTACCACGATTAGTCGACCCAACAATGTATTTATGATTATCAACCTAATGCACTCAAAGGTTACTTCAAATTTTTTTTTTCCAATAGGACATATATATGTCTTTTTGTCAAACAACTTATACATAATTACTTGACTTCTCGCCCTCTCATAAGAACTTTTATCAAACAGCTCAAATCACTAAACTCGAAGAAAGTCTATATATAAGCCATTATAAATAACAGCATAATTAGTATTCAATGTTATGTAAATCCGACACTGCATGCATGTGTACTCAACTAACGCTATAAACATTTCTCAATTAATAAAGCAGTAAGATGTTGGATAATAGTGTATTGATAAGAATCATGTGCTAGCATTGCTTCATACTGCATTGTAATGCATGTGGTTAAGGTGGTGGTGTGCGACAGATTTCGAACAAGAAAGTAAAAGACATGTCTCGTTTGGCAGCTTGGACTGTACTGACTATTTCTGTCGGATATGATAAATAATCACCAGATAGTACTGACTATATTAGTCGGGCGTTTGGTGTAGTATCGAACTAATTATTGTATTATTTATACTGTGTTTGGTATTATACCGGATATGAGGAATCAAACTTAAAAAAAAATTAAACTTAAAAAAAAATTAAAAAAAAAATTGAAATCATCTCTTTTGTTCCCAAATCTCTCCGCCGCACCCCCTAAACTCCCTCCCTCTCTATCCCTTCTTCTTCCTCGTCTGCTCCCTTGAACTAAACCCCACCACAAAGGCAGCAACAAGAAATTCAGCAAAACCCACCTTTCAAATTCTCATCGTTTTTTTTCCAATCCTTCTTTTTTTTTAGCTACAAATCAGCCCAGCAAAAGTAGAATGGTTATGAAGGATATGACCCAGAGGAGGCAGATGGGTTCTTTAGCAATTGAAAATTTATAAAATCAATTGCAAAAATTTGAGAGAAAAAACAACAATCAAACTCAATCTGATTGAAAAAAAAAAGTTGGAAGAGAAATAGGGGGCAGAACAGAGAGAAAAGAAGAAAAATTGCAAGAAAAATAGGAGGAGGGCAGAACAGGGAAGAGGAAGAAGAATCTCAGATTCAGAAGTGAAGGACATTGGATTTAGAGGAGAGAGCAAGCGATGTGAGAGGAGTTGAGCGAGCGGCGAGAGGAACTCTCTGTAATTTGAAGCACTTTGCTTCTCCCATTTGAGTTTCGTTAGTCCATCGCGATTGTCCTCTTACGCCGTTCGCGGTGATCAGAGAAGGAGGAGGAGGAGAAGTTGCAGGAGAGCGAAACAGAGGAGGAGGAGTTGCAGGAGGGCAGAACAGAGGAGGAGAAGAACCTGGGATTCAGATTAGAGGGCAAGCGATGCGGGATGGAGAGAGCGAGAGAGGCGTGTTTCTACCTAACTAAATAATACCAAGGTTTTGGGCGGTATAACTAAGCGGGTATCAGCCGGATAAAGGAGGTGAGGTCGGATTATTTAATCCAGTGGTTATTTAATTCAAACGGACATCAAACACCGTACTTCGTATTATTAGTATTGTCCAGTGCCTTATCCGGTGTGCCAAACAGGGCATTATTGGACGGCCACAGTTGATCCGGTTTTCATCTTTTTATACAATAATCTGAAGTCGACAGGCAATTACTTTTAATTGGATTTCATGAGAGGAAATTAAGGAGGGGGATTGTCGTTTTGCAGGAATTTAAAAGTAGTATTATTATTTGACTAATTGAGAGGCATAGTCATACTAGCCAAGTAATTCAATTTATTTATTTGTAGTGGGATGAAATAAAAAACTTGAGGGTGGTTAAAGAAGACAAAAATATTTATGTGAGTCTTTTCAACTTTCAGAAAGTGAAATGTCGTGATGAAGTCATTGGTTCCCTTTTAAAAATAAATTAATAAAGGAATGTTAAAGATATTTAACATATAACAAGTGGTTACTATTTCCATGTAGATGATTCTTTTAGTAGATTAGTAAAGGGGATGAAAATATAATTAAGTTGATTAACATATAACATGTGGTTCCTTTTTTTTAATATAGATTGTAGTCATTGCATTTTTAGTAGATTAGGAAAACAACAATTACAAGTTTTATTGTGACATTCCATCCCGATATTTATTGTATTTTATTTTCAATAGCAATAAAATTCCTAAAATGTCCTTGAGATGCAACATGCACCTTCCAATTGGATCTCAATTTTCCTCTGACTTTTCCACTCTTGTTTTTCGCCCCTCCAGGATTTTTAGTGGCTGAACTCTAGTGATGACGAGGACCCCTGGCATAAGTTGATATCTAGGAGACTACTCCTAATTGTATAATTATTACTCTACTCTTACTGCATTTTACTTATGCTCTACACTCACTTGTGTGATATGAGTTCAATTCCGCTCACATGCGCACTCTTGTATTAGTTACTTTAGGTTTTAATTTATTCGCATTTTCCATATCATTACATTTTATGGTTTCGTCACATTCCAGGAGTCGGCTAGCATATCTTGATTCGGGTGTCAGATGAATATTTCAGGTTCAGATGTATCATTTATACAAAAAATACGTAAAAGTTAAATAGGTGAAATATCCTTTGCGAGCTGCTTGTCATGTCAAATTGATTATTAAGGAGCGAAAACATTTTTATACTATCTTCCCTTTGATTAGTCTACCACGTTGTTTTTTGAAACTACTTGACTTATTATCCGCTTGACATTGAGGTTGGATACAAATCATAGTGAAGTAAAACATTTATTTAGACGCCTAACAAAGATAAAATTTAGTTATCAAAGTAAGCGCTATTTTACATTGTATGTATTCACCTCTTTGTTTTAAACTGTGAACTAAAACACATAGCTGAATAATTTCAATGTACTTGCAATTTATATTAAATTTAAATTGATATTCCCATGCCGGTATGAGCGAGTCATATTAGCTAGCGCAAATGTGCTCACTCTTTACACCCGAGTTTAAATCTCTTTCCCTACCATTCAGATAAATATTAGAGTTGAACATCGTCATAAAGGTTGCTCTTCCCTTATTGAACCCGAACCCACCAACACGTTTCAACACAAGTTCAAGACAACTGGAGGTTTTAAGCCTAACAAACTCAAAAAGAGCAGACACAAGCCCATTGGACAAGGGATAAAACTGGAGTAGGTCATATGAGCCCATCAGAAGTTGAAGAAAGGCGCCCACTGCCCAGAAAGTAAGAGTTTGCTACTCGTCCTTTGACATAACACAGAAAGTAGCGGAACTAGAACGAAAACGAAGTATCGTATCAAACCTTTATAAGGTATATATTGTCGATTATCAAGAGATAGGCCAAACGCTTACTTTTAACAATATTGATAATGTTCTTAATTTAGTAATTATCATCTATACAATTCGTCAGGTGTGAGATTTTATCATAAAAGATCTCGGTATAAGTTGAAATGGGGTTAAGATATTTAAACTATTATTTCTCCATTTCTATGAGCATAGTCTTTCATTAATTAACACCAAACAATTACAGAGTGTCATTGGTTACATAATTCCAGTGACCAATAAATTGATCTGGAATGAATTTGCACAAAATAGACAAATAACATTAAACCCCTAGTAGATACCCACAATGTCAACCACACAGTAGCCAAGTGCACAAATCTACCAGAACAGAGACATATGTGAGATTCGGCACGCCTCTTCATGTGGGGTAAACTGTCATTTTCCCCCTTAAACTATCACCCTATTGTCAATTTACCCCATAAACTATTTTTTCAGCCAATTAAC